AAGGTTAACATGCAAAAAATTATAGGGGTGGAACTGCAGCCTTACACATGTATATGCATTCGTGAGAAACTAGAATTCAGAATCAATAGTTTTCTGTTGTAGTTAATTGGACTAAATTTATGGAAAGCCTTATAGCCTTTAAATAATTATATATGTTAGTAACGTATATAAACCTGATTCAAAGGAAATAAAGGTAACATATATGAACCAAACCACAAAAGTTCTGGTTTAAAGGCATTATTGTTAGTCTTATATTAATAAAATTGATGGATGTAGATGCATATTAGTAAAAATATAGATATAGATATTTATATTACACACATGTATGTACATACTTCCATATACATACGTACATATATACACAAGCATACACACACATAGTATATTAGTAAAGGGCATGTTTGGCAACCTTTGAAAATGGGTCAAGGTTTGAACCTGATCTCCATTTTAGGAATTTTTTTGGGGGTAAGACTGGACCAACCTAGGCCAAAAAAACCCTTACTATACTGGTTTTTTTTTATGCAACCTCCCCCACATGGATTAAAAAAGAAGCAGTTATTCTCAAAAACTGGGTCAGGGTCGGTCCTGGCACAATTTTCCAATTTTGAGAGGGTTGCCAAATATACCCTAAGACATGAAAATGAACTGGATTATTCCATTCAGTTCTGCTTCCGTTCTTAGTTTTCTTCATTTTGTTTGTTTCACAAAAATGGAACAATGCTGACTAAGAACTCCCCAAGTTAGAGATACCTTCCAGTGAAATAAAATGACAGAACCAACATTGCCAAGTTCCCGGTACAAATATGAGAATGTGGTACGCTGCTTTTGGTGATACATAATATGAAGATGGTAGACTTAACTGGATCCATATTTGGGATCATAGTCCATTTAGACTACTACTAGGTTTTTGATTATTATGCATGTACAATTATGTGCATGTATATGGACAAGAAATTTACATATACATTTGAAGATACATCAAATCAAGTATTATGATAATAGAATTTAACATATTTCAGAAAATACAAAACAAAGTACTATCGTCACAATACAACTCTAATGGCTTTAATCCTTCAACTTTAAACCCATACTGTTTCCGAAAATCACAGATAACCATGAAGAAAAGGCTAAATACAAGCCCTGAATACAGTGCTCTTTAATCAATTAATAGTCAGTTCAATGATGCACTGTGAATCAGGGTGCATGAATTAGACTTATAGCTCAAGAGGGGTTAGAATGAATTATGTAACAGATAGAAGATCCACTTTGTTTTATCTAGTGCAATAAAAACCAACAAAATACTTGTTGGTAGGACAGGGCTTTAGTTAAAATGTGGTGAAGGTGATTGGAGGACAGCCTAAGTAATCATGAATGATGTAAAGTTCAAAAGGATACATTAGATGTCAGTTTAACCAATGCACATTTATGTATTGACCCCAAACATTTGAAAATAAAGGCTTTGTTGTTGTTGTCTTTCATTGTTTTTCAAGCAGCCTGATTAGCCCTTCATCCATTTTGGTTTGAAGAAAAGAATCGGCGTGATAGTTAATCTCATCTTAGTTGTTTCGGGATGTCTATTAGTTGTTTTTAATATCATGTATTTTTTTGAGAATTTCCATGTTTGTTCTTTCCATTTATTTTCAATGTCTTTGTTTCTCTCATTCTTAGTGATGGTCCTCACTATATCATGATATTGTGGCCTGTATATGCCAAGGGAGACTCAGTTGTTACTCAGAAAATTATCAGTGTTACTTTAGCATATGAGATATATGGTCATCAATTAATTAACAGAATTGAAAAGCCTAAGTGGCTGGCTTGACTTCTTGTTGACTACTCTATTGGTAGCCATGTTATTTGCTTTGTTTCTTTTTCACTTGGTTTCAAAACAATTTAGAATTATTTAAATGCTGTAGGCATTTATATTATGGCTTTACAATGCATATACAGGGTGTATTGTGCATTGGCTTCCTGAAGCGTGCACGCCAGCATAAGGAAATCACAAGAGATCAAGCAGCGAAAGATTTAGAGGTAGGCTGTATCACTTTACAAGCTAATATTTCTTATGCTTTAATGTGATATCTGATCTTCTGAATTACACGGGATTTTTATTTATGTTGACATTTGTGCCTTATTCACCAATGACTGACGGTTTACCTGACCTGAGAATCGTATATTAATTATTTTTTCTCACCTTATACCATCTACCCTGACTTGTAACCGACCCCTACCTTAATACATCCTTTTGAACAAAGACAGATTACCCCCGAATTCCACCATGCTTCATTACGGGGTAGAAGCTTTTCTCTAAAATACATGTCAATAGCCAGCTCTCAATGTTTCAGCCTTCCATCAAAAGCAAACAGAAAACCAGTAACTTCAATATGCGATGCATCTATCCGGATTACATTTCCTGTAAAGCATCCTACTTTTCTCTATCTTCTGCTGTTATGTTTACCCCCCTCCCCACTCACTCAAAAAAGACAAAAGAAAAACACACGCACGCACACACAAAGTCCCCCCCCCCCCCCCCCAAAAAAAAAAAAAAAACAAAAAAAACAAAAAAAACAAAAAAAAAACAAAAAAAAAAAATGAAAACAAAAAACAAAACCAAATTGAAAAAATAAAACAACAAAACATGATTCTTTTTCTTGCAAAATCATCAGAAGGGTTATATGAATGATCTTTAAGAGTTTCTTCGGGTCAATTGCAGGAACTCGAAAGGCGCAGGGAAGAACTTGAAGCAATGCTAATTGGAGAAAGAGTTTAAGAAGCGCATGCAACTTTAGGTTACCCCAGTGTCCAATCATACAATACAAACAGGGGGATTATCTACCTGTGATCCCCTGCTTCAGTTAATTTGCTTCTTCCATGGGGCTCCAAGAGGTTAAAGTTTAGGCCTTGTTTCATGTATAATATGTACATATATTGCTGAATGGCAAAATGCACTACTTGTTTAAGGTTTGAGATAGACTCTCTGGAAGCAATAGAATTCCATCGGCTATTCAGAGAAGAAAATTTTGAGGCAGTAATATAACTGTCAAAAAAAAAAAAAAAAAAAAAAAAAACC